ATATTGTTACAACCTTTTGTCGTCAACTTTGTAACATTCTTAAAAATCATGACTGTATCAGACTTGTTACAAATTATTAACAGCTTGTTCTGAACTTGTTACAACAACTCAGTGGGTTGTTACTTGTTAATATGTAAATCGTAGTAGTTGACTTTTGCCATGTGTTTGGTTTTAGCAGATTACGTGACCAGCTCCCACCAGGGTCTTTTGTCTCTTTTGTCCATGCATAGAACTGAATGAATGAAATCTGTCAGATCTTGGAGTAGGAAATAAATATTATATTTTGTGTATTCATTCGAATTAACAATAGCGTTCCAGGGTATTCCAATAGAATTTGGAATAGGAGGCATTTTGAAAGAAGTAAGCGGCTATGTGATGCCGAAGGTGTCACTCACCTAGGGGCGTGGATGTGTGATCCATCCGAGGGCGTCTCTGTGAAGATTCTGAATTTAAAAGCTGAACTGGCATTTCCAGTCATTTTGGAGAGTGGGGTTTTGGAAGTTTTGTCATTTTATCCAAATATTTAACAAAGACTATTGTGTAACATTTATGTTAGAAAAGCAAAAAACATTTCCCCTGACGTTTCTGCGGTAAGGAGGAAATATTTTGGTTTGTAATATCGAGAAATAACCAGCGATTGTCTATAGGCTATAGACGGCGAAAATCGCCTGGTGTTGGCTTCTACTGGCCGGAAACCTGAGCGTTCATTTAGTAGCATGTAAGAATTTTACTGTCGTTCCAATTGAAGTGTTGCTCAAATATTGATTCAATACATTACCTCGGGCTGACCATTTCATTTCATCAAGTTCCTCGAGATATTCATACACTTCCTAGTATAATTGTAAACTTCCTGTTGAATAGTTTGAATGCACCAATCACCTTTGTTGTTTGTGCAACTAACCAATCATAAATAGAAAGGAAGTGACCAGAAATTATCAAATACTTGGAATTGGCTCTTTCACAGGAAGTGTATGAATATCTCGAGGAACTTGATGAAATGAATGAGGTAATGTATTGAATCAATATTTGAGGAACACTTCAATTGGAACGACAGTAAGTACAACCATGGATAATAAAATAAATTTATTTTATTTTTTTTATTTTATTTATTTTATTATCCATGGTACAACAGATGGTGTTCAACCTGCAGTTATCAGAGCGAGAGCTTTTCAAGTATTTTTATAACGGTTGAAAAAATCACTATCCAGTGGATAGTGCTATCCAGCCATCGTACAAACGACCCTATGTGGACCAAATAAATCAAAATGTTATAGCGCTTCTAAATATTTGGAAAACTTAAACCAGGACCAAAGTTATCGGTCAGTGAAAATCGAGAAATCGCGCCACATTGGCGAATCGCGTCCAGTGTGTCTAGCTCGACCTTAACATCTCGCCCTTGCAGGCGCAAGCCCTTGCCGCCTTTCGTGTCTGCCGCCCGCCCTTTTTGACACCAATGTTCATGGGTGTGTTCTCCTCAGTGATACTGTAAAGAGACGCTGGGGACAAGTCAGTTTGCGAAGTTGATCACCATCTGCTGTCCTGCAACATTTACTAAAACTCGCCAATATAGTTAATATACTAGAATTGACAGTGTTGCACACTATCCAACAGTATTAAAAGTGATGTTATTCCAACCCCATTCAACTTCTGTTACTTTGAATTCAAACGGAGTTTGTGGGCCCATATCTTCAGGTCCTATCCCACTTTCAAACATCTGTTGAAGTAAATTTTCTCCAGTCTTTATTTGATTTTCCATCAAACAATATCGTTTCTCCTCGTTCATGGCGTATTCTTGCACTGTGGTCTGGCTTGGCGTTCGCTGAAGGTTGCCATTGGCTGCTTCTAGGTCTACACTTAGAGTCGTACCTGTACGACTTCGTTCTGTGATTGGTGTCCTGAAGTAGAAATGTGGTTTAGAGAAGCGGGAATGCGATGGTTCGTAGTTGAAGAGAGAAAGAAGATCCAGTCAGGTTAACATGGTGACACAACATTGAGGACAAGCAACCGAACAGAGGATGTAATGGAGAAAATTACCAAACGAGACCGGAGGGTGATGAAGATTGTCATGATGGTTTGGTGGTAATGATGATATAGTGATGGTGCAACGGTGATTGTGATGAGGGATGGTAATGATGAAACAGAACTTGATCGTTTCGTAATGGTAAACACGTGTTCATGTCTTGTTTCGAGCTTCAATCCGAACCAAAACAAAGATGATGGCGGTGGTTGTGATGGTAACAAAACTAGAGGAAGAAGATGCTCAATATCGAGTGTGGTGGAAGGTCCAGTCAAGTTAGTAAAGAGACACCTAAAAGAAGGACTTGGGATATAAAGCCGATGAGAGGAAGAGATATTGTGGGAAGGTACTAAGTCGAAGAAGAGAAGAGGATGCCCGGAATATAATGTAGATTAAGTCTAGTGAGGAAAATGACACCCAAAAGAAGGACGACATACAGTTGGAAAAAAAAGGATGAGATGGTGAAGTAATATGGGAAGAGATCATTGATTAAATTTGAGAGAAGAGGGATGTCGGGGATAGAATGTAGAGACAACCTCTTTCCCAGTTTTTTCCTTAGAGATAGATCCAGTCAAAGGACAACCACTAGAAAGAGACAACCACTAGAAAGACAACGAACAGTTAAACGAAAGATGAAGAGATATTGTGTAAAAGGCATAAGGGTACTCAGGAGGAAGTCAAGGAAGAAGTCAAAGAGGATCCCTAGAATAGAGTGTATTACATGGCGCCAACAGTGTATTGCATGGTAGCAACAACCGACCGTATTAGTGATTACAATTAAGAATGCGATAGTTCAAACTCGTTAGTTGATGTAAATATTTCAATTCCGACTATGAGGACTGGACTAGATTTCAAGTCCGTGCAAGGAGTTGAAATCCAGTCCGAATTGGAAGATTTGAAATAACATCTCATACGAATATATCACCACTCAAAGTAAGGTGAATTAATTTTGATCCAGTCCAAGGACTGAATTAATTTTGATCCTGTCCTAGGATTGGATCAATATACTTAATCAGGTATCCAGTATTATCATGTGAGCAAAATAAAGCAATATTGTTAGCTAAGTTATCATGAATTATTAATGAGAGAAAGAAGATCCAGAGTCAGGTTAGCATGGTGACACTCAATCAAGGACTGTTTGACAAACCTTTGAAAGACAGAAGATGAGATAGAAAAGATAGAGTACTAAACCTGAGAGAAGAAGATGTCCAGTATAGAATGTGGGACAAGATCAAGTCAAATTGGGATGGAGCTGGTCAAGTTAGGAGGACAACGATCAGTTGGGAGACAGAGGATGAGATAGAGAGATAATAAGGAAAGAGATATGAGGAAACTAAACCTAGAAGAAGAGGATGTCCAGTATAGAATGTGGAACAAGATCAAGTCAAATTGGGATTGGACTCGAGAAATCGAGTCCAAAAAGTGAAAGGTACTGGAACTGACGTCCAATCATTGAACTAGAAGTAAACCTAAAAGATTGCCTATAGTTCATGCGTCCAATAGCTCCTTCAATTTCCGCCATCTTGACAAGGAGTGTGCCGAAATTTCGTATTTTGACATTGATTTAAAGAATAACACTATGGTTTTATGAATGTACTGATAACTTAGTGATACGGTCCGTTAGAAAAAAACTGGAATTAGCTAGGGAAAATCGTATAAAAGCTGTTTACGACCTCGATGGTCGCCATCTTGGCTTAACTTTTCTTATAGGTCGAATGACTGAAATTCTTGCTCCAGATATATGTGGTAAAGAGTAGTGGTGAAGAGACTCCAAAAAGAAGGACTTAGAACAATTGGGAGACAAAGGATGAGATTGAGCGATATAGAGATCTGAAGGTACTAAGGGAAGAGGATTCCCAGGATACAGTGTATTGAGAACTGATAGTAACAATATAAAACAACGGTTATTGAAGATCAAAATGAAGAAGAAGAAAGCTAAGTAAATACCTAGAGTAATCAATACAATACAATGCAAAAGCATGAATTTGAGAATTTCCACTTACATTCCAATACCAACTCCTTTTTCCTGAATAACTTTTTGAAGTTCAGATTCAAACTTTCGAAGAGAAAATGTGTACTGGAGCATGAACGCTTCGATGATAAACGCCACAAATATGCTGTAAAAGAGCGAAATTATCATATATTTTTTAGAGTTTTTTTCCAACAATGAATGGTAGATAATGTCTCTGCCAATATGAAATCTACACATACTTTAAAACAAGTATAACGCAAATGAGATGAAACGAGACAAAGTATAGTCTAGCAGCCTTGCTAGTCACCATCACAAAACCTTGAGTTAAAACTGTACAATGTTAAGGATTTATCAGAGCGAACTTAATAAGGCAACACACAGGACCATGCAACAAGACAAAAAAACAACTGAAATGTTCGAGATACGGTGCTTGTGTATTTTTATGCCTTAAATAGTTTGCCTTTTTTAAATAGGTTGCCTTTTTTAAATAGTTTGCCTTTTTTTGTCTTAAATAGTTTGCAATAATGCAGTTTTCTGATCATAACTTCGCGTAAGGGAACTTTCATTTTGATGGAATCCAAACATCGCAAGTTTTCTTCGGGTAGTATACTCTGGTAACACTTGCTCAATATAACGGATGGCGCTTACAAGACCTCTGCCCTCTCGAGAGAATATCACAGAATTAACTGATAATGGACAGTTGAGAACTGATAGAAACCAAAGGATACTGTGCCATTGATTGACAACCATCAAGTCAAATAACATTTTTAGGGATTTCAAAATATCGTTAAAATTTTCTCCACAATAATGGTCTTTATAAAATCCAGAATTCTTTAACTTCGCATCTCCACAGAATAACTCTGTCGCATTCGTGGTTGCGTTTGAATAGCCAAGCATTCTGATTCTGCCTTGGAATAATTCCATGCCAAGTATTGCATACATATAAAACAAGATCTAAAAGAAAGTTGAAGTTAGTGTAAGAACGAACGAACGAGCACGAACAAACGAACGAGCAAACAAGTAAACAAACAAACAACTACACAAACGAACGAACGAACAACCTATAGCAAGTAAACAAACAAATAAACAAACAAACAACCTATAGCAAGTAAACAAACAAATAAACAAACAAACAACCTATAGCAAGTAAACAAACAAATAAACAAACAAATAAACAAACAAACAACCTATAGCAAGTAAACAAACAAATAAACAAACAAACAAACAACCTATAGCAAGTAAACAAACAAATAAACAAACAAACAACCTATAGCAAGTAAACAAACAAATAAACAAACAAACAACCTATAGCAAGTAAACAAACAAGTAAACAAACAAACAACCTATAGCAAGTAAACAAAGAAATAAACAAACAAACAACCTATAGCAAGTAAACAAACAAATAAACAAACAAACAACCTATAACAAGTAAACAAACAAATAAACAAACAAATAAACAACCTATAGCAAGTAAACAAACAAATAAACAAACAAACAACCTATAGCAAGTAAACAAACAAACAAATAAACAAACAAACAAACAAACAAACAACCTATAGCAAGTAAACAAACAAACAAATAAGCAAACAAACCAACAACCTATAGCAAGTAAACAAACAAACAAACAAATAAACAAACAAACAAACAAACAACCTATAGCAAGTAAACAAACACACACACAAGAAAACAGGCAAATAAACAAACAAGCAATACGAGTCAGGCCAAATAAAAAAAAACTTGGTTAGCGTCACCGCCCGCCTCTCGATTTCTGCCGCCTCTGAATTTTTCTTTTTTTTATGTAAATTTCTTCGTTTTACAACTTAAAACAGTTTAATATTTGAAATTTTTCTGATGCTCAGACCTTCGCGCTATATACTGATCGATAGGAGCGCGTGGGCTAGGGTATATAGGGTTCTTATAGCAAAATGGCGGCCTTCGCAACATCAGTACAACAAATATCACCGATATGGTGGAAAAACCGCCCCCATCCCCCCAAAAATACGATTAAAAAATTAAGAAACGAGTAAAAATTTTAAAAAAAACGCCCTCCCGCCTCTGAAAATTTGTGAGAGTGTGACGCTAACCAAGTATTTGGCCTAATCGTACAAACATGTTTTTAAAATCAGAATGTCTTACAAACACAATTCCTCCATAAATGGCAATGGATGGTCCTATCTGTAGAACCGTATTCACTACAACTTTGAACCTACAAATTAAAAAAGAAAATGACATCCTTTTTCTTCAATTATTGTCTTACTAATAATTCCAAATTGGCTAATCGTATCAGCACTCTTTAATTAGTTTTAGCCCAAGCAAAGATGTAGATCGTTATTTATTTTGTTTATTTTATTAATTTTTATTCTTTACAAGTCTTGTAAGTCTAGGAGTGTTCTGTCGTTCTGACGTTTACAAGCTTGGGAAGTGAGCTGAATAATAAGTACTAGTTAAAACATGACCAGCCGATCTTTATCTGACATAAAAACTCGAGAGTTTGTATATCAGATAAAGATCTGATGCGAATGTTTTGTCGTGCTTATAAAACGACCCATCTTATGAGTTCATTGGTGAAGTAATTTTAAAAATAAACATTGTCTAAGCCGAGAAAATCAAAGCTAACGTTTATGTAAATCAGGACAAATCTTTATGCGATTTACAAACATTGATTAAACATTAATTTCTTTTGAATTTTTTTCATGAATTATTAATGAGTTTTATAATGTACATTACCTTTTAATTGCCCCTATGACTTTAATCAATCGTAAGACCCGAAGAATCATGAATAAATCATATACAGATTGACTTGTTGTCACTGAAGTGAAAAAAATATTTCATGTTACTACAGCTCAGTGGTCGCTGCATTTAAATTATGATGTATCATTATGGGCGGCAGGGACGTCGCTATAGGGGTGTGTGTGTGTGTGTGTGTGTGGGGGGGGGTTTACACCCCCCCCCCTACCCAAATAATTCAAACGTTGGTCAAAATGGAAGTGATATTTGCCCAAAGTTGGTCAAAATGGAACTAATATTTGCTTAAAATTGAAGGTAAAACTGGGAAAAATTTGGTCAAAGTTTGGGATAAAAGATGGTCGAAGTTGCCCAAAGCTATGAAATGGTTCGCAATTTTAACAATTTCAAAGCTTTTGTTATGTTTGCGGTGAAAAAATTGGTAGCCTTGCTTATCTTGGTCGAAAAATTTTGAATTTGCTTATGTTAGTGCGGAAAAATTTTTTTGACTCTGCTTATGTTAGTCCGAAAATTTTTTTGACCTCGCCCCCGTCAACAATATTTTCAGGAAAGATTTTTACGACTTGGTCAAAATCCTAGGAAATGTTGGTCAAAACATGACGACACCCCCCCAATGTTGATGCCTTCGCGACGTCCCTGATGGGCGGTGTTCATATGGGTGCAGCTAACCGGGAAACCCACCTGAGTGAGATCTGCATGCCCTTTGTTAACGCATATAAAACCCATTTGTGGTCATATAAAGAGAAACAAACCAGCCTGGCTAGGTGGGATCTCAGTCAATTTCACACAAGTAAAGTCGTAATATAAGATGCAGTTTGTTTAATACACGATAATTACGTCATTTGGCCTGAGAGCCTCGCTCTCATGAATCGTGAGCCAATCACCTTGCGTAATTTACTCTCCAAGACCAAAAGTATGTGTGACGTAATTTGTATTACAACAAAAAATATTTCGAAGACGTTATGTTTAAATAATGTTGCCCCACGGAGGGGAGATTAGGTGGGATAAGAACAGTCTTATAAACACAGAAATAGTTTATTCCACTCAGGCGAGCTTCTCGGCAAACCAGGCTTTATATGAACAGGCCTTATTTGTTATGTTATATTTCCATTAGACTCATTATAGACGCACACTGGATTAATTTATTCCGTCTTTCTGATCGTACCTGAAACGCCAGACAATTCGACAATAAATGCCACGGTTGCACCTCCGATGAAAATAAAATCAAACCTATAATATTGGGAAAATAAAGAAGAAACAATGATGGAAACAGTCTATCTTTAGCTCTACTGGTCATGTCTGAACTGTTCTCATTGGAAATCCCTTACAGTATTGGTCCAGTGTTGTTAATTCATGCAGGAGGAAAACCTGTGGTGTTTGGTAGAGTCACTGGGAACACTCTTCTCGTCGCAACTGAGAAACTGTAAGAATTTAGCACTGATTGTCGAGCTAGAGGTTACAGGCGCACTGTGGCGTGCACTATTACCATTCTGCCACCAACACGGCAAAATTTATTGAAACAAAATATATGCATGGACTTACTTATTCCACCCGTTCGCGAAAAACTCTCTGCAGCCATATGTGTAGAATTTTAAAATAAGCTCGATGTTAAAAAGCAAGAGAAAAGCTATCTCCGCCATCTCGATAGATAGTAAGATGAAAATAGCATTTACCAATATAACCACGCCAAAAAAGCGGACAAAATATCTGAAAATAAAGAAGGGGAAATTTTCTAGATCGCTCTTCTGAAAAAATATCCAGATAGTAAAAAACTCTCCCTTTTACTGTAATCCAGTGGTCAGCATATCGTAATTTTAGTAGGGAAACATATCGAAATTTTCATTTTCATCGAAATCATTTTTTGACAACAATGGCTCCTATATACAGTCAGTGTGGCCAGGGTTTAAATCCTTCATTCCTTTCTATCATCCTTCCACCCTATTGTTCCTCCCATGTACCTGTGACGAACCATTCGTCTACAAGTCGCAGGACATTTTTTTTCACGCGGGAAAACCTCTTCTTTGACTTCTATGATTGGAATGTTGAGCAGTTCCGACACTTTAAAGAAATCTTTAAGTTCTATAAAAAAATATTTGCAGAAAGTCGAGGTAGAGACTTTGTATATAATACGGAAAACAGTTCTATTTTCCTTGGGATGAAAGGAAGAACGAAAACTTTTGAAAACAGATATGAGAATGAGCACAGGAAATCTCTAAGAGAAAAACAAGAGAAACGAAACAGTGAGAGAGATAGTGAGCTAGAATGTGTTGAAGAGAGAAAGAAAATGCCAATTCAAGGAAAGAAAAAAGGCTACAGAATGAACGAGGATATGAAACTCGTCAGAAAGACGACACATAAGGATGTTGAGGACAGAGATTAATGCAACCTCGTTCTCAGGCTTTTCCTGGGACGAGATTGGGATCAATGGCAAAGTCCATGAGAGAAACGGTCCCAAACACAAAGAAATTGTGGAAATGCACGTACACTTATTCTGCAATCGTCAAATCACAGAAAGATGTAACTAAACAAGTGTTTACTTATGTAATTGTTGTTTTCTCGATCCAAAACATTCCATAACAAGCTGATTTTTCCTGGACTGTATTTTGGACACAACACTTCAAGAAGAGACTTCCATGTGTCAAATTTCAACACCTTGCATTCGTTCAACTCTTCACAGATTAAATCAAATGCTTCTTTCAAATGTCGTCTTTTTTGGTAGACTGAACAACGAATTTCATCCTGTTGGTAAACGAAAAGGAAATCTAGCGATTTGGAATTAGCATGCATCTTACAAAATATCTGACAATTGACTCAAACTTTAGATGATAAGTAAATTCGCCGGACTCCTAATAAGAATCTCGATTAAGCAGTGCAATCAAGGCATCAGTAACATAGAATCATTAGAGATAAATAAATGAAATTTATGAACGTTTTACCTTTAAATTATTTTTGTAGTTTGTATAGACAACAGCCAATAAAATACTGAGAAAAATATACATACATATGACAAGGAAAACGACGAAGAATAACGCAAACCAGTTGTTGCTGTCATATGCAGAAATCCTAGGTAACAGAAGCAAAAGTAATATAGTGTTGAGGGTTGAAAAATATCTATATATTATCTTTTTACTGTATAGGCCTACTTCATAAAAAAACATGAGCATTGAGGTGTATAAAAGTATAGTTTACCCTATGTCAGGGTTGTTTGCTGTTGTCGTAAGAATATAAAGTTGGTAGTAAGACTCGAGATAGTTCTGGAAATAAGGATTGCCATCAATATCTTTAAGATTTCTAAAACAATTAAGAATCATAAAGAAAATTAATTAGGAACAATTATAGAACAATTAAGAAATACATGCGCGTCACAACATCGAGTATGCAGATCACAATACAATTTATTGCACTTCACTACATGCAAATACACCAATATACCAGAACTACAATGAAAAGACAATGGAACATTCTGATCATTGTATCATTACTGGATGGTCCTATTGTTATGATTAGTGTCACGCGGAAGGCCACATAGCGCATAATCCAGATAACGACAATTAAAGTCATGAAAATTTTTACTACTTCACCTATTTTCAAAGAGTTTTGTGGCGAGCAAGGCAAACAACCCAATGGCAAGTAGAAGCAACACCAGCACGTTCAAAATACCAAATATTGTTCTTCTAATGTTTCTAAATGCTCGACGAATCTGATAAAATATAATTTGTTTTAAAGAAGGGAATATATCGCAATTATTATCCATGAATTTAAACTAAAACTTAATTTGTACTGGATAGAATATTAGATTTTCAATGCATGTTCTGCCTATAGTCCAATAAGAATCATCGCTTATTGGGTCAGTGTTATTCTGCGGGCGAAATCTAGCTCCGATGTTTGGTAGAGTCAAACTGGAAGCACATGGACTAAATCAACATTATAATCTTAAACATACATTTCCTCACCTGTCGTGCTTGAAGATTTATAAGAAACGCAGGACGAAGTATTCTTGACCAACGCCTAACTATCGATTCAAGACCATTTTCCATGAAAATAGAATACAACAACATATCCAGAAACGTTATCTGGAGAAATGAATGTCAAAAGTTGTAAACGAAAGTCTGGTTTTTGTGCGTCTTGCGTGACGTTTCAATTTTTCGTGAGCTGGCTATACCAACTTTTGTACAGAATATTTCATCCAGAGCTCTCAAACATTTTGTACAAAATATATATCATGATTTTTTTGTGTTTTCTCATGAATTATTAATGAGATTTTATACATGCACACTTACAGTTATTGTGAATGTTAGTATAACATTTTTCTTATCATTCCAAAAACAACCATCAGGCGCTATATACCATCTGTGAAACAGGCATAGTGCAAATACAAATATACAAACAAACTCCATTATCATTGTGGCCTAGAAATAAAACAGAGTTTTAGATCAGTTTTACTGTAACACAAAAAGAATGTACATATGATAAATACGAATAATTGAGTGCTTACCCAATATGGTAGCTCATAGCCACTGACTGCAGGTTTTTCAAAAATTGCTAAAGCCAGGTTGAACCAGACAAAGATGTGTATTAAATAATTTATGTAGAATGTATAGTAGAAGTTATATAACCTGAAAGAAAATATATTAAGTTATTAGTTGAATTTGTGGCTTAGTTAGGGCAGGCATTGTAATTAGTATACGGAGTAATTAATAAACTATTTACGTTACTCATCTCAAGATAATCAAAAATTCTCAAAATTTCGGTAATCGATTAATTTACCCCTCGAGCAAAGCCAATTAGTTAATTGTTCAAGTTAAATTACAAATTAGTTAAAAAAAACAATCAAACTTGAATCTTACTTCACTTGTTTTGGTTTCAGTTCAAAAACGCCATGCCTTCCAAATCTTACTTCGTTTATTAACGTAGCTGCCATCTCCAGTTTCTGATTGGAAACAAGAAATTATTGTGTTCAGACCGAGGTCAATGTTATCGGTGCCGGAACCCAATAGTTGTTTCAATGCCGTAAGAAGCTCTTTTTTATTTGGGGGGGGGGCTGAGAACGAGGGCCGAAGGCCCGAGTCGAACGCCGCCCGCAGGCGCGAGACTTTATAGGGGGAATGTTTTACTGATTTTACTGATCTGAAATGCCTATATTTTATAGCGCCCTGGTGTAGGTTTGCGTGATTGCCATTTTAACGTGATTGCTATTAACCAATCAAAACACATGCAGCGACTAGAATGTATAATAATATAAATTATTTTACCGTGTATATAGAAAGTGTAGTCCCATTTTCCTCATCACATTCGTTCAGTCCTATTGAAACATTTCCCGCCGATATATTAAATGTGACGTGCCCCCTTGAAGGAGTAATAAGTTCAGACTGTGTATATAGAAAGTGTAGTCCCATTTTCCTCATCACATTCGTTCAGTCCTATTGAAACATTTCCCGCCGATATATTAAATGTGACGTGCCCCCTTGAAGGAGTAATAAGTTCAGACTGTTCAGTATAATCCGCATCGTCCATTGCTGTTGAAATACCACCAGCCTGCATTTTGGAAAATTTGTAACCAGAGGTGGTGTGGTGACTATACCGGCATGCGACGCGACCAGACACGGCTTATAATACCACGTGATTATACGTACCGGTATCTCGTCGGAATTTTGAATAGGAATTTTAATATAGTTTCATATAATTTTACATCACAGTCCAGTATGGATGAATTTTCAGTTAAAACATGAATTACTATCAATCAGGGTCCTGCGAAGAAGTGAAGTGCATAAATAAAATATAAAGCCATTTGTTTATTTAACTGTATTTTTCTTTATTATACAAGGTAAATTTTGTTTATTTGCCTGATTGTTTTAATTAGTCTTTAAGTTCATTTACATAAAAAAAACCAGTTTCGTATCTCTGAGGATGGTTCTGAAATATCATTTACATAACATAAAGTAAACAGTGTATTGACCACGTGTGAATTATAAACCTATTTTAAAACTACTTTTTAACTAAACTTTCACACTAACTATAGTTAACTTTAATTACTTTTTTCAGGTATAAATGTGAGTACAGCAACTAGAGTAAAACAGCGTTTATAAATGCATAGCCATAGTTTACATGTAAACAATTTGACTTTCCTTAGCCTGCAGATGATATCTGTGACACCACGTCTGTTCTATAATATCAACTGTTAATGTTTAAGTTATCCCTTGTTAAATGTACAAGTACACGAGTCCTTAGCAAAAGAGAGAGACTATCAAGTAGAATTACGATAAATATTTTTTTATTTCACTTTCACTACTAGGAATTACAAAATATGAACTTGTCTTCAAATTTACGTTAGGCAAAAACATACTTTGATGGTAATTGTGCTACTTACTTTCAACCAATGGGGATGTATCACGTGATGGTGTGATCGTCGACTGTAACGTAGATAAGGAGAGTTCCTGTTTGAATCTTTTGCGGCAAAGTTTTGACGAGTGAAAAGGGAGTTTAGCGAAGCAATAGCCAAATATGTCTGTAGACAATAAGGTGCACATTCTAGCATGCCGAGACTCAATCAACCGTTCCATGCATGCAGAATAAATTTAATCTTAGTTTACAGTAACCAATGTTTTATATATATGATTATATGTTTTCGTCTTTTTACTGTTTTCCTCGATCGTAAACTATTTAATTATGGTAATAAAGTGAACTTATGCAGTAGAAATTAAGTGCCCCAATTAATTTGGGCACTTGACGTATTGCAGACAAGTTATGTATATGACTATTTAAAGCACGCGTAGGAGTGTTCTTATATCATATTGACCACAATAGCTGCCGTCTCATTAGTATTCCTTATGTAAATTCATTACTTTTCAATTGATCCTATAACTTTAATCATTCGTAAGACTCGAAGAATCATGAGGAAGTCCACTGCAGCTTGATTGCTATCACTGAAGTGAAAAGAGAGTCTCGTGTCACTATCTATAAAATGACATCTACATTATAGATCATTATTTGCCATATTTGTATTCAAAATGATTTATTTTTTGTTATCTATCTGACAGTCTAACTATTTATAAATTACATGATTTTACTGTGTAAAAGGTACATTGATATAATTAAGGACTCTGAGAGCTCAATATTAAAATTAGCTGGGTGAATGTATGTTTTTGAAATTGGTTGTTATTGTTCATTAATTGACAGAATTACCGACAGAATGGGACATCATTATCAAGATATAAGTGAGTTTTATAAATAAGTACTAACTGCAGCAGATGGTGGTCAACCTGCAGTTCTGCAACACTTATTGAAAATCCCCAAAATAGTTAATACACTAGAATTGACTTTTTTTGCAGGGTTATGCCAACTGGGTAGGGGGTTACGGTAGGGGGTGTAACCCCCCCTCAAAGGAAAGTCCGGAATGGGGCCCAATTTTTTCAGAGGGGATTCCCAAATGCTGGAATTGTGGAACGTGTGAATTGTTCGGGAAATGTCCTGAAAAATTGAGGGAAATTTGCCAATGAGGATTAGAAAAAAAATACACTTGGAGTCGGCTCTACACTCGGAGTCGGCTCTACACTTGGAGTCGTCTCTACACTTGGAGTCGGCTCTATACTCGTAGTCGGCTCTACACTTGGAGTCGGCTGTACACTCGGAGTCGGCTCTACACTCGGAGTCGGCTCTACACTCGGAGTCGTCTCTACACTTGGAGTCGTCTCTACTCTTGGAGTCGTCTCGACACTTGGAGTCGTCTCTACTCTCGGAGTCGGCTCTACACTTTGAGTCGGCTCTACACTTGGAGTCGGCTCTATACTCGGAGTCGGCTCTACACTCGGAGTCGGCTCTACACTCGGAGTCGTCTCTACACTCGGAGTCGTCTCTACTCTTGGAGTCGTCTCTACTCTCGGAGTCGGCTCTACACTTGGAGTTGGCTCTACACTTGGAGTCGGCTCTACACTTGGAGTCGGCTCTGTACGACTTTGTTCTGTGATTGGTGTCCTGAAGTAGAAATGTGGATAAGAGAAGCGGGAATGCAATAGTTCAAAATTGTTAGTTGAAGAAAGAAAGAAGATCGAGATTCAGGTTAGCATGGTGACACACACTCAATTGAGAACGACAAACCTTTGAAAGACAGAGTATCAGATGGAGAGATAATATGAGAAAAGAGATACGAGGAAACTAAACCTAGGAGAAGAGGATGTCCAGTCTAGATACCCGATGATGCGAGTTCAAATCCCGCTCGAGCCAACGAATTTTTCGTTGGTCGATTGCAGTGTCAGATTAATACTACCATTTTCGAGCTTCCGTGAAGCGTGCATTTATAACTAGGTTTTAAAACGTTTCTTCAGCATGAGTTTGTCATTCAAAACTTTTTATTTCGCTCCTAGAACATTTTGTTTTGACATAATAACTTCTGTGGGCGTGGTATAAAACATATTGTTTTGCACGCGAAACTTTGAATTTCGGCGTCAAAACTCAAAAGGGCACTTGTATTACAGAGGTTTGTTACGTAAACATATCCAGAAGGTGCTATAAATCTGTTATTTCGCTTTCTATAGCAATTTTGTCAGTATAAAGTCAGTCCGTGTGAAAAATAAGAAATTTTCGCGTGCAAAACAATGTACTTGACACCACGCCCACAAAAGTTATTACTGCAAAACAAAAAGTTATGATTGAAAAAAAAAAGTTATGGAGAAGAGGATGTCCAATATAGAATGCCGAAGAAGATCCTGTCAAGCTAGTGAAGAGCAGTGGTAAAGAGACTCCAAAAAGAAAGACTTAGAACAGTTGGGAGACAAAGGATGAGATTGAGCGATATTGTGTTAAGAGATCTGAGGGTACTAAGGGAAGAGGATTCCCAAGATAGTGTGTATTGAAGACTGATAGTAACAATAAAAAACCCCAATTATTGAGGATCAAAATGATGAAGAAGAAAGCAAAGTAAATACGTAGAGTAAGCAATACAATGCAATGCAAAAGCATGAATTTGAGAATTTTACTTACATTCCAATGCCAACTCCTTTTTCGCGAATAACGTCTTGAACTACTTTTTGAAGTTCATCTTCAAACTTTTCATCAGAACATTCGTACTGGAGCATGAAGGCTTCGATGATAAACGCCACAAATATGCTGTAAGATAGCGAAATTATTATATATTTTTAGAGTTTTTTTCGTCCGGTGTTCCCCCAACAATGAATGGTAGATAATGTCTCTGCCAATATATGAATTCTACACGTACTTCAAAATAAGTATAACGCAAGTGAGATGAAACAAGACAAAGTATAGTCTAGCAGCCTTGCTAGTCACCATCACAAAACCTTGAGTTAAAACTATATACAATGTTAAGGATTTATCAGAGCGAACCTTGATAAAGCAACAGGACCAGCAAGACAAAAACAACTGAAATGTTCGAGATACAGTGATTGTGTCTTTTTGTGCCTTAAATAATTTGTCTTTTTTAAATAGCTTGCCTTTTTTGTCTTAAATAGTTTGCAATAATGTAGTTTTCTAATTATAACTTCACGTAAGTTGCACGTGAGAAGGGAAGGTTTGACCAAACATCGAAGGTTTTCTCCTGGAAGTAGAAGTCACTTGACCAATATAAAGGATGGCACTTACAAGACCTCTGCATGCCCTCTCGGGAGAATGTCATATAATTAAGATAGCGAGTAAAATTACTTAATTTTGTGAGCAAATTCACTCATTTTATTGGTAAAAGTAAATCTTTACTCAAAAAATGAGTGAATTTGAAACTTTACTAAAACAATTAAGTAAATTTGTTCATAATTTTGACTAATTTTACTAAAAAATTTAGTGACTTGACATGTGGGTACATATTTTGAGTCAAAATACTCGAGGGATTTTCTGCAGTGTAGACGACAGTTGAGAACTGAAGTTTTGAAGGATACTGTGCCATTGATTGACAACCATCAAGTCGAATAAAATTTTTAGCGATTTCAAAATATCGTTAAAATTTTCTCCACAATAATGGTCTTTATAAAATCCAGAATTCTTTAACTTCACATCTCCACAGAATAACTCTGTCGCATTCGCTGTTGCATTTGAATAGCCAAGCATTCTGATTCTGCCTTGGAATAATTCCATGCCAAGTATTGCATACATATAAAAGAAGATCTAAAAGAAAGTTGAGGTTAGTGTAGTAAAGACGGACAAACAAACAAACAAACAAACAAACAAACAAACAAACAAACAAACAAACAAACAAACAAACAAACAAACAAACAAACAAACCAAGCAAGCAAGCAAGCAAGCAAGCAAGCAAGCAAGCAAGCAAGCAAGCAA